TCTCATCTCCAAAACCACCGAAATTAATTTCGGAGTTCTGGAGTTTCGGGGATTTATAGTTTCGGCCGGCAGCTTTAGTCTCTGGCTATACTATTATTATATCAATAAAACAATATTCGGGTATGGATATTTTTCTGGCGATCATCATGCGCATATTAATTCTTCATCATTTTATTCAAATTGTGCGACAGAAAAATAAGTAGATTAGACAGGTTATACAACATATTAATTTTCATATATCGAAAAGTTATAGTTAGTTTTCTTATTTCAAATATAGGATTGCTAAGAGATCATCAGCTGGAGACACTAATCATGAAGTCTTTTTTATTGATTTACAAGAGGCTAATGAATGATAACATGCAGTGTGTAATTGCTAATGAAAATCTAGTAATATCTTACTCTTGCGACCCTATAAAATAAGCGAGAAATATTATTTTTTTTTTCGAAAAAACATTATCATGGAAAACCAAAAGAGCTCCACTAGAGTTAAAAGCCTGAATACTCCTATTGATAATAATATGGAGAAGCCAGAGAAATCGGATATGAAAGATCAAACTGATAACATCCAAAGTATTGATATTTACAAAGTACAACTGAAGCGTGACAGATCCCTTAAATCTCTTGCATTGAGTATACTAAAATATCTTCCAGAAGATATTCTTCGTGAAGAACCAGACTTTTTATCTATTAAATCCAATGATAATATCTAGGATTGTGAGGTGTGTCAAGAATGTGATAAGCCTATTTTAATAGAAGACTCACCTAAATCGCTCATTTTAAACGTTTGTGGTAATATAATCCATCAGACTTGTGCGAGAAAACCTGATAAGAGGGGTGTATTAGAATGCTCGTGTGGTATGGCCAATAATAAAAATCTGTCATTATCTTCAGAAGAAATGGACGTGAATGAGGAGAATAATGAGGATGGGGAAATAGAATCAACTCTACCAGAGGAAACTGGCTCAACTTCTAATAGTAAGAGTAAGAAATTGGCTAATGAGTATACGGATTCTTCAGCCAGCAAGAAATTTAAGAAACGTGATCTAGATGAGGACTTTAACATTTTAAAAAGACTCATCCAGGAGTTATCTTCTGATACCACTCAAATTTTAGTAATTAAGGAAAAGAAAGGTCTCCAAAGAGAATCCATGCAAGAAGATAGAAGTACCCAAATTTTTTTTGATCTGTATTTTAAGATCACCAATGCTGAAGAGCGAAATGAAAAGGCATGCTATGAACTTATTATAGCTTATTGCTACTATGGAGAAGAACTAGAGAAATGCCTTGTCCATTATAGAGAAGGATACAAAGAACATGAAGTCCTAAAGAAGCTTTATGATAAGGTTAAAGATCAGCTTCCCAAAGAGGTTACCAAAAGTGCTATCCGGAAGAAATTGAACAAGGTAAGGAAGGTCTATGATCTTTTTTTTCATATTACCAATAATAAAATCCAACAGATGATATTCATCGAACGAATAAAATCATTTTCAGTAACATCTATTTTAAATCTAAGTGATGATAATATTAGATATGTGCATCTTAGGTTAGAAAGAATACACAAACCTAAGGCCAAATAATGGTGAGATTTTAAGATCAAGCCACATGGCGCATTCTCAAAATTTAGCACTTTTTTTATACATAATATTATGTGAAACGCCTTAACGGCTAAAGCATGATCATCATAAATTAAATAATAAAGTTTGTGATCCCTAGACCTATCCATATCAGGCTAGTGTTTTTTAATATATGATGGTGCACTCGAAAAATAAATATGATTCTATATGTGTATAATTCTAAGACTGATCATCTCGTAATTTATGGAAACTTGCAACTGCCTTATAACTGTTGTAGAACTGACAAGGATACAATTTTTTATAATACTGAAAATAATTTAGCTGTTATATTATCTCAGATCTAATTAACTGAATTATGATTGAGAAAACCGCAAACTGATTTACATACATGCGAATATACATGACGCCTTCAGCTTTCTTCGTCATAGACTTTCAAAAGAAAGCTTCAGATAAATATAGGAAAATGTGCACAAAAAAATATGCTAATCCTCCTGGATATGTTATACATCATGTAAAGCGTCTGGGTAATCCCTGTTAATCATGAAAGATTCACACAGCCTGTATTAGATCATCTTATATTCTGAATTTTTGGTGATCATACCTCTGATTAGCTATTATCTTAAACTAATTTAACCAAATTATGCCATTAAAAAATCCTTTACATGCGGTACATAGCCAGACGTGAACCTTATATAAACCTCTGATAATATGCTTGTAATCGAATAAAATGAATCTGATATTTTATTATAATATACTTACTATAAACTGCTATAAATCACTATAAATTGTAAAAACAGTGAAATTGCTAAAATCAATATAATTTGCTAAATATGACGGTTATTACCTTAGTAAGTACTATTAACATTAATATGATTATTGATAAAAAACAATGGCGGTTACCTAAGCCCGTCAGTAATCGTCCTGGATATGAT